ACATCTGTGAATCGCTCTTCTGTTCCCCACCCCTCGACTTTCTTCTACTTTGATTAACCTTCCCTCTGTGAAGCCCGAAGTCAGCTAAATGGCTAATGATAGCTATCAAAACGCCTGCCATTTGAAATAAATTATTGGCAAGGTCGCACTGAAAACTTCTACTTGAAATGCAGGCTATTATTAAACATTAGTTGAACCAATAGGCCACAAATTACATCAATATATCACCGTTATGTTCGCTGCTATTGTTGCCGGACTTAAATAAGAAGCCGGTTTCTATTCGTTGTTGGCATCAAAATCATTTGACCAATCTGAGGTTTGAATTAACTTTTCATCCACACGCTATCTTACGATACTTATTTTTTTGAGAAATCGTAAAACAAAATTATTATGCTTCATTCTTTTTGGCCAGTTCTACTCCGGAAGCATCTCAAAACTCTCTGTCTGCCAACGCACCTACTATAGTGCAATCTGTTTACTCGTCATTAAGTTTTGAGCGCTTCTACTGGGGGCAAAAGTTCGTTGGTAGTCTTGTATTTATTTGTCAACAAGCGAGGCAGATTTGAGAGCCTCCTTAAAGATTACAAACAGAGCTTCATGTATTTTACGTCTTATTCTTACCCGCTCGCCCGCCCAACTTACCTCCCTAAAACGCATTCGATAATTTCTATAAAGAGATGCTTGTAGTAGTCAATCTTGGTGGTATCCTTACAGACAATGTTCTAATCAGAAGTAAGTAACCGTGAGAATGGTTTAATTAGGCTGTAAGTGAAAGAAACCGAGGTGGGACTAACAGCCTAAACTAGAAACAAACTGGGGTAATGATCCTTATTTTGGCACTCGTCAAATATTGCCAAAACTTGATTCCACAACATACCGCAGAATCGGGGAGACTGAAGACAGAAACAGAGTAACGCTTTAATAATTCAATAAGACTTTAATAGCAAAAAGTTGCTTCACTGTAATATTAGCGTTTGAAGTTCAACTGGATATTATTCGGACTTATAGGTTCTTGGGATGTAAAATAGCACATTCTGCGATATAACGTAGACTGGATAAACTAAAGCTATTTTGTCGGCATCCGGTTGATTTAATATCTATCACCAAACTCTCACTTGCCACCATCGTGAGAAATAACAATCACTTTTAATATCATTACATATATCATATGCAACGATAAATTTGCAATCCTCAATCCTACCAATGATGAACAATATTTTATAAATTCTCGACCACTCCTCTCCATTAGATATTTTAATATTTAAGTCGGAATATGGATTTATAATATTAAAGCAGATTCTGATCGAATTTCGTTTTAAGCCAGGGTCGGTATTTTATCGAACAGTTAAGCAGTTTAAGTACCTTTTGTTGGTCAGGAAACCCGGAAATGAGAAACTTGACTAGATCAGCTACTGAGTTGACAAATGTAAAGGGCAAAGGTCGACAAGTGAGTCCTGTGGCATCTCGTGTGAGAGCAGTGTGCATTGTGGCGCCAAGTAGAAGCCAAGTTAGGGTGCGTACACGTTCCAGGCACAGCAGGAAATCTCGAGGTCTAAAAATAACAGGAAAATGTGAAGAATGTTTACTCAGCTCTGCAAGAAATACAAGTACAATACTTTATCGTCTCATCGAAAATTCTCCCCCTATCAAATCATTTCATCGAACAAATCGTAAAATTTCCTATTTCTATCTTTGTGTGCCCGTCTGTTTGCAAATATCAGATTGAGCCGTTAATCGTGCCGTCCATGGTCAAGCGTCTATCCTTCAAATTTTCAATAAAAAAATGGAAGTTTGTAACGCTGTGAGGTAATATGTTGCTTCAAAAATTCTAATATACATATAGATTTAATTTTTCAATAAATGATTTCGAGTCAGAATTAGTTTGTCGTTCTAGTCTGCAACCATATTTATTGCCTATAGAACATCGTGATTAGAGAAGCAAAACAAACTCGTTCGAACAACACCATCAAATAGCGGTACTTCAAATTTTACAATTTTTTAACTGGTAAATTAATATTACGAAACACTAAACAATTGATAACTCAAGCTAATTGTGCTAATTTTCTTTCTAATAGAAGCTAAGTAGTGTTTAAAAACCGATTGCGAAAGGGCCTAATGCACATTCACGCATCTAAAAAATAATGAATTTGAACGGTTTAGTTAACACAATTTCACCTCTCTATTTCAATAAAACTCTATAATAGCCCTTACCCTTGTTGCATGAACGTAGGTATTGATTTTAGCCACGAAAGGTACTGCAAAATCGGCGCATCCAGTCGAGTTGAATGAGACAGTGTTGGAACCAAAGCAAAATGACCGATGGACATTATTGATTGCTGGCCCACACCTCCTGGTGTAGCCAAAACCGAAGCGATACTGGGACTTCTGCTTGAAGTATTAGGCACAGTCAAAGAGATATGGCCCCCATCCTTAGTCCCTATCGGAGAAACGGTCGTTGAAACCTTCGGCCCCGAGTAAATAGATCCACCTCCGTCACTTCCACCTCCGTCATTTCCACCTCCAACTGCAATTGAAGTCGATCCACGTCCAAATGCACGACCACCACTAAGGCTGCCGGTAGCACTTGGTTGTCCAGCACTTCTAAAACTCCCACCAGCTGAAAGAGATCCTGATAGTTTTGGGGCCGTAGTTGTCTGTGAAAGCTGTTGTTCCTGTTTTTGAGCACCAGCGTATGATGAAGAGGGTCTTGGTTTACCACCACCTCGTTTCAAGGGAACATCAGAAATTCCAAAGCTGTAATCATCAGATAAAAGACCTGGGGATAGAATATTAAGAACATCTTCATCTTTTATGTTTGAGTGGCGGGAAAGTTCAAGAGCAACATATTGAGCAAGTCCGGATTTTAGATGAGCTCCAATAGTGTCCTCATGCAGAGAGGGGACATTTGCAGCTGCAGGTGGCATCCCACTGGAAGAGCAAGCGAAACCTGGATTCTGAACTCCACTATTGCTGAAAAGTCCACTTGAAGATGACCAATGATTGTTTCCTCCGGGTCCACAAAAATCGGACGGATTTACTGATTGCAGTGGTTGAGCAGCCGTCTTTTGAGCTTGTTTAACCTATATGAAATCAATTTTTTTGAGTAATGAAGTAAAGCCTTTAAGTTTCCGCTTGTTCGATGTTTCCACGTAATTCTTATTTAAAGCTGAGCTTTATTGGTTCTACTTAGTCGTTGGATTTGGCATTGCGGAACATAGGGCAAAAAATTATATCTCGGATCAGTTCTATTTTCAGCTCATATTCCCGGTGTTTCGACTTTGACACTTATCTATTTTTAGGTCATCATCTACTCTATTTAAGTATGTCTGAATTTTATATAACTTTTATTTACATTTCGAGTTTCGAACTTATTGGCTACATTTTAATTTCGTCTAGAGTTGAATATGGCCCCATAAAATTTTATCATTTTTGACGAACTAGGAAAAGATTATACAAATGTCTAGACGTTTCATAGCTAAAATAGGCACCGATTTTTTATAATATGACGAAACATCGCAAAAGGTGGTCAGGTAGAATATTATATATTGAGCTTTGATAAAAAATAAAATTTATTATAAAATTAAAATGCCAGCTATTTTTAAATCACGCATGCAATGCTAATTAATATATTTTCACCATAATTTGCAAATTTTTCCAGCCGCCAAAACAGTTTTTCGACCAAATTTATTTTAATCAAATCAATAGCTGTTTTGAGTCAAGAAGTCGTTTCTCCCCATTTAGATAGACTCCATCAACATGATTAAGTGACAAACGATAAAATGAGGCCTAGTCAATATGGAAGAAGTGATAAAACACACAACTTCAATGCCCAATTTCACTGGAGGACAAATTTTGCTCAATGCTAGCCGACATTGCAACTGTGAAGGACTATCCCTTTTTCATTTAATGAAATCGGACGATTGTATTCCCATTTTCAATCCATTTCCCTTTTTTTATGACAATTAACTTTGGATGCGGCTTCTTCTCTGTTTTTTTAGGTAATTCCACCCTATATTAACCAAATGCATAATCAAGAGTCGTTAAAGTTCAATTTTTGCGAATTTTGAGGCTGGAATGGGGATATGTTTGGGAGCAACTATTATTATTCAAACTAATATTATCGTAAACCTCTCGATTCTCAACCCCCACCCCTCCCAGGGCCAATTTACAATCCCGAAAAAATCTGAATTTAGGCGTTTCCCTGCTCATATTTGATTTGCAATAGTTCTGTCACAGTTACTTGAGGTTCTAATGCATTATCATCAAAATTCGTAAATCGTCCTCATTTTGGCACACTATTTCAACCTTATCACTCCATTTCAATATTTGAAATTAAAATTAATATAGTGCAACAGTAAGCGCTTGTGCAGAAATTTCAATAGGAGTTTTAGTAGAAGCCTTGATAGTGTTGGAGTCCAGATGCAAGAAGCTCTTAGTGAAATGTCTATCCGACTTGTCCACAGACATGCTTGCTTGTCCTTAAAATTAAAATGCGTGCATGCCTTTTAGATAATTTTGGGCAATACATATAGTGCGGTAACACCTTTGAGCGTTGTTTTTTACCCACGAAAAATCAATATCATACGTTAGCATTTAAGTGTTAAAACGACTGCCTGATTGAACAATCTTTAAATGGTTACGCACCTTAAAGCCCAGAAATAATGGCTAATGTTTGATAAAGTTAAATTTAAATTACTTGAATATTGCATTCGATTTTGCAAGGTGCACATGGTTTACCTTTCGGATCATATGAACATCTGAAAGAATATTTAAGCAATCCACAATATGAGGTCGCATCAACTCCGCAGCTCCGGTTGAGAAGAGATGGAAGGTCTGCGGATTGAAGATATCTGTTAAACCAGGTGAGATTTGATTTGGTTCAAGCGTTCCACCGGCATCCATGATTACAAGCTGCAAGGAAATGTGAAATGAATGACAGTCACCATTTTGTTCATGCATCAATTAGAAAGTGTGGGTCACTTCATTAATTAATAATGTATTGAGTGAATAAGATGACAAAGGAGATTGTTTTTACTTTCAAATCTACATAACATAAATTCAACATGATATTTGTCTAAGAAAGGACTGACAACTATGCCATTGTAAATAATTTCAATACTGCTTTGTTCGTGTGTACTCTTTAAAGTGTTATATTTCTGGTAATATGCAGACCTACAAGAATTATCACAAACTCAGTGGAAGTTTGTGCAATCTACAATTCGATATCCTAAACTGAACTACGCACAGAATAGCAGAAAACGTGTGAGCAACTTAATTTTTTTATCGCTACTTTAATAGTAATTAGGTTGAAACTGAAGACAAAATCTCTATTTAGTTAAAGGAATAAAACATAAATATATATTTATATATTTCCACCTTGGCAGAAAACAACCAGCTTTTTACGGCTCCGACTCATTAGAATATGATTTGAGAAAGAAGCGTAAATTGAATTTCAAAAGAAGTAACCGAACTAAATTTTCCGTGTTTACAAAGAAAATTTAAACTCGTGCGTGACTTTAAGTAAGTCCAAAGTCTTTAGTACATTCAAGTGGATTAGCTAAATTGCGTAAGACCTACCTGCAGCGTTTTAAGAAGATTTTCATCTGGTAGGTACACCCGAAATTTGATAGCACTGAGAAGAGACTCTACCACGATTTTCGTCAACTGCGATTTTGCCCTCTCCTATAACAAATTAGAAATACTGATTTAAAAATGAATGGGAAATGTTATATTTATTGGACTCCATGACCAATCCAGGGAAAATGTAATTAATAATTTTCAATCGATTTACATCATTTAATCTTTCACTCTTGTCAGAAAAAGAGTTACAAAATTTATAGAAATTAACGCCCGCATTGTTCTTACTAAATGTTTATGCATTTCAAATATTCAAATTATTCCTAGTCTTGGTCATACGTCAATTTGGGGTATAAGTTGAAGAAAGTTTTACACCATTCCCTCAATCTGCCTTTGACCTTGTTAAATTATATTAAAATCAGAGCTAATGCTTACCTGTGGCAAAGGTCATCGTTTCGATTTGAATAGGCATTAACACAAAGCATTCAGATACGCATTTGCTGTTTTAAATAGTATCTAATGCGACATAACCCTTTAAATATTAATAAAATCGGTTTTTTGAATAGATTGAAATTTAGTGACGAGTCTTATGACTCGATCAGTCGTTTCAATGTGGTAAGCTCTGAATCTGTCTTACGTAACCGCAACGAAATAGGCTGTTGATATGAAAAATAGGACAGTATTTCTCTTATCTGTGACAATTATTTTAGGCAGATTTCATTATTATAAATTTATTCTAATGATATTATACAGTTTTAGGAGATCAATACAGCTTAAAAGAAGACCTCATTTTAGAATTCTTTCCAAAATCGATGCCACGAATTAATTCCCCCCCCCCCCCATAACAACTCTTGCTTGACTGGAGAGTTGAATCATTAGCAAAAGTCAACTTTTAAATTACCGAATTTAATGGATCCGCTTACGAATCTACTTTAAAATTCGACAGATTGTGCGAAAGAAGCATTATTACGTAAAGACATGTAGATTTACTTAAATAGTTCATATTTTCCAATGTTTAATTTTTTTTCAAGGAAGTTGCCTACCTTGAAGGTCCGGTTGGAGAGCGAACAGATTTCAATGAGAAGGGATAAGTCAATGTGACACTGTTCAATCACCAAACGAAGAATGGCAGCGAAGGCGTCCGTTACTCCTTGCTAAAAAACAAAAACATGAAACCGTATTTTCGCGAAAGCATTTTATTCGCAGTTGAATATCTTTTAACACTCTATTACTCATATTTTTGTGGGACTTAAATAAAATATTAAAGTAAATTAATCAAAATTGTATTAATAATAAATAAATAACATTTATTAATAGAAAAGTCAATTATTTATAGATTACTTCAAGAAAATGATATGAGCAAGGTGTTAAAGCTTTTAAATTCTAGCATTTTAATTAAATAGTCCTACTAATCGTAATGTTTATTGGCATTTAGGCACTTTGATCCAATTATATTTTGATATATTCCAAAGGTTTTACTTACACAATTTTTTTCTTTGCATTTTGCACTAAATCTGAGTGGCTATTAAGAAAATCTACATTTGGAATACTGTTCCAACACTAATTATATCTGTATAAGCTGTTATGACTTAAAACAACGATATCTCAGCCAGAATGAGTTAATACTCAAGTTCACAAAAAAAACATTGGAGTCAATTCGACTTCAATATAGTGCGGAGTAGCATTAGTTTTGGTGGAGCGCATGACGATATCAAGATTATACAAAGGAATCTAAAATATTCCAGAAAGTGAGTCGAGCTATGCAGCGAATTGCTAGCGGCTCCTAGCAAATCATTTGCATTCTTTCAAGTGGTGGTACTTACTTCCTGATCATGGCTTGAAATTTGCAGCAGATGTTAAAACACGCTTCATTCAACAATGGGTTCTGTGTTCACCTTACTCCGAATACTTGTTCTAGATGACTATGCCATCACATTTGTCTGCAGCTAGTTAGATTCCATAGAGGAGTACACCAATTTTTATTAAAGTACTTATTTGTGAAGCGACCGCTACATTCCCAGAAACATTAAAACATTCAATCATTATATTGAGAGGATAGTTTTAATTTAAATGTTCATATCGTTTAGAAAAGAGCTAGCATGAAAGTTTATTATATTTATGAATTTTCCTACAGTTATGATGATGAACAAGTTGTGTGATGTACTTTGAACAAACGCAAAGCTTGGATTCGCTAAGGTGCAGTTTAATAACGCTTAACCAAATATTAGAAGTAATGTAATGGTAAAATCGGAACTCAGCATCACATCAAATTGAAGCTAAGTGGAAGGACTAAATAGCTGATTTTAGAGCGCGCTATTCACCTTAAAACAAATGCAATATCACCTACCATATTTTTATATGAATTCATAACAAATGATCAGGTGAGCGAATAGCATCGCTACGGTCTCTCATCTCGATATTCTTCCGATTTTTCAAAATTAGGTTCCTTTTAATGAAAAAAATACAAAATGTCTAACCTTAACAGTCGAATTCGTAGGCGCTCTTAGAATAGATATCATAGATCGAAGTGTAGCAGCAAGATTTGTCGGCAGAGGTCGTATTTGCGAGAGTTTGCGGAAGAATGTCTCAAAAAGGGGCATCAGTTCTGCCCATCCAGATGATATGAAGTTATTCCACTTCTGCTCGTCTGTCAGCCGAGGGAGATTCTCCAAATACGTCGACACATTCTCAAGAACGGTATTCAGAGTCTCTGTTGGAAGAGTTTTGCGCTTGTTAAAATTGTCTAATGTCGAGATTAGAGGATGGAAGAGGGACATATGTTCCTCAAAATTCACCAAGACGGAAATTATGGCACGGAAGAGAATCGGATCTAAAAATTAAGACCGATTTAAATGCATGTCCTCAAGTAAGCACCAAATAATCATTCTATTTTGGTATCTACAGAGGCTAGTTATCTGGTCTGTTAAAAATATTCAGATTATCTTTATACACAGTCAGGATATGTGTTCCGAATATATTTTTTACATTTTGTGACGTACCACGGCATTTCATTTTTTCAACTGACTAAAACGCTGTCGATGCTACTACTATAACCGCTTCTGAAATCCATACTTAAATGCCTACTGTTATGTCATGATATTATCTTGATTTCAAATATTGAAATGGGACAACACAAGTCTAAACGTTGTGTTAAAATGAAAACAAAAAACGTTTGTATTTTAATGATGAATTATTGCAATCTGCTAGTTGAATCAGATCTTCAGTTAAGTAAGGACAAATTTTCCTTGATATTCACATGTTCACGGAGAGCTGTGAAGTTACACTTAAAACACATGAGTACATTGACCAAGATGGTGAACTGTGTGCCGTGCCATCAGCTCATGAGTAGAATGAAGATGAGCAGGGAAACACCTCTGGGATCTTCCATCACATCCTCTATATTTGATAGACCTCACTCCATCTGATAGTAACATTTTCATGCCCACCCAGCATACTCTAAGAGTAAAATAATTTCAAACTGCGATTCCAGTATAAAACCACTCGAACGAGTACTTGAATTCACCGCAGACAGTTTATTTTCTTGAAAGTGAGTCAAAAAACCTTAAGAGGAATTGGAACGTGCAAAAAAACTGATGACTGAAAGCCTACCGCATAATGTCATCTGCGTGTTTTAACAATAAAGAACCTTTAAATATTATTTGTGAAAGTCGTGGTTTCTTATAAGAACCCTAAATACTTATTAATTTTGAAGACACCTCTGTATGACTAGAATGCTATACCAATTAACGTTTTCTTAATAAATTAATTATGAAAATTATTTTATTAAGGGAAATTTATGATTCTTTAACATTGAAAACATTGTTCTAATGTAATTATCTTTTATTTGAAGGCTCATTTCTGTAAAATGATATCGGTAATTTGATATATTTACGAATAAAATGTTGCATAACGATTAAGTCTTTTATTAAGCAATGTTAGTTACAATAAACAAAAAGCGTAATAAAAGACCTTAGGCCATTTATTACAGCCTCTCCTAATTAAGAAACCGAAAATAAAAGCCAATGAACAAACTTTAAATTTTTAAGGAAAAAATCAATCAATTACTTCATTAATGTGCAAAATAGCCTAACCATGTAAACACAGCAACAAATATTGATCCAAAAATAAGTCGTTAAAAGCAAAAAAATGGGTTTGCCCTTTCAAAGACGGGGCGGAATCTTTTAAAGTATAAAAACTAAAAGCACTTGCTTTATTCGTTGATCTCAAAAGCGGTGAAGTTCTTTGAGGATTTACTCAAGGATGTTATCAATTAAAAAGTATTCGACGCAACACACTGAAGACTCTACTTCAAAGATAAAAGTGAGACTAAGTATTGGAGTCCTTTTCATCAAGATGAAAGTATGATTACGCATATTTATTAAATATTTCTATTTTGGCAAAAAACAAATTTATATGTTATTTCGCATTTTCTTCCCATTACTTTTAAATAAAGCACCTATCTCGTGGGTATAGCATAAAAGGAACTTTAACGAGTTTTTTTTCAAATGGCAATGAAAATTTATTTTCCTTCCTCTGGTTGGGATATCGTTTTGCTGAGCGTAAGCGCTATGAGTCATGGTAAATGCGTGAATGATAAAACAAAGGTGATTTCTTCTCATAACAAGGTCAAAATCATAAATAGAGGACTCGTCAAAACACATCGTTTATTTGTTAATTCTTTTAATCCACATTGCATTGAGTTTTACGTTGATACAGTTAGGAAATACTTGCAGTTTAATGTGGAAAAAAATAAGATTTATTGGAGTGTTGGCTGCATTGACATCAGCTGCTTACCAGAAATTGGAGTTTGAAAGAGTTGAGTAAACAGACCGTTTGGAGCCAGATTATACATTGTGCAGCGAAGAAATTGTCTGGCAATACTTGCGGTGTTTCCTGACACAATGACATTTGGTCTAAAAAAAACAAAAATGGAAAAAGTATTCCAGTTTCAAAAGAGAATTTCCTTATCCAAAAAAACGGTATAATTTATTTTAAGGGAAAAGCTGATTGGTTTATCTTGGATCTGTAAATATCAGCAAGAATTTTTGAGCGGAGGGATACATCCAGTTATTTCATTTGAGCCCCTAAGACACAGCATGACTGCAACTGACTTTGACCTGTGTTCATGTACGATACAAATAGCGCAACTTAACGGAACTCAAAAGGGTTTGACTATTCCACACTTTGTTTTTTTATCCTTGTGTGTTGATCCAAGTGCAACGCTGATGTGATCATGAGCGATAATAATGTTACGTTTGATGTTACTCAATATTCGAACAATATCTAAAGTAAAGAAAACGAATATGCAGATAAGATAATATCAATTAGAGCATAAAATATTGTCACTTTAAATGAATTGATGAAGGTTCAAGTTGCTGTTTATCGGATAGAATAAGCGGAATTAAATTTTCCCCAACCACTGCATCCTATCGTAATGAAATCTTTGTATGAAATGAAGATTGAAAAAGATCTTACTTCTCTCCTGAAAACAATTAGTCAACATAAGTATTGTTTTGACCGATGGTTAACAACACCAGTCGGCTATAATTGAGTAGAATATGACTACTAATTGCCGTCAAAATACCTCTATAGGCTTTCCTGATTTACATCCTGAAAAGCCGAAAGTATCACCAGAGAAGAAAATACATTACAATCCTCTTGATATCTGAGCATTACTTAATGGATAGTAATAAAATAAATATTCGTGAGATTACAAGATGATGGCGAACTCGTCAATTCTAGTTAATATGGAGAATATAGAGAATGGGGGATGTGCGATAGACTTACCTCCACTTGGTGCAAACTGGGCAACGTATATTCATACGGCAAATAAAGTTTATTAACCGGCAGTTGACTTCCATCACCCCACTGCATGTCATATTCGGCCCCTTCCACAGTACTCACCTCTCCATTTTTTCTACTATTGTGCCTGTCTGTCTCTTTTACATCTGTGAATCATTATTTGTCACTTTGATGTCCCTCCTACCCCCTGTGAGTCCCGAAGTCAGCTAAAGGGCCAATGATAACTATCAAAACGTCTGCCATTTGAAATAAATGAATAATACAGAGAATGGAAGAATTCAACAATGCGGCTCCATGACCTGACTCCTTGGCCAAAGTAAGTACTGAAAAACTCCTTCTCAAATAAGCTTGGGAATTATGGTAATAACAGTCTAGCTGATGATCATACGACGCTTCTTGTGGAATGGGCACCTGTCAAGATCTGTAACTAAGATCTCATGAGCCAGCTATGCAGTTCATCAAAATCAGTTATAACTTTCAAATTATTCAGTCATTAGAGTTGGCAAAGTGGATTTTCGTATTGGCAACACTACTAGCCAATCCTTTAATGTTGGTCAACTTAAGTAGCTGGTTTATACGACAAGGAATTTATAAATAAAATGAAATGAATAAAATGCAAAATTACGCAATATATGGGTTAAAATAAGCACGAAGCTTTCATTGGTTGCCCTTTAAAAGTTCACATTAAAAAGACATTCTCTTCTAAGTCATAGAGTTCAAATACAACGCATATTTGAAAGAAAACGTTAAGAATCAGTAATTCGAGGCATTTTGGTCATTAGTATTAATGAAAAATTCTATTTCTTTAACATTACAAGTAATAATATTGTGAGTCTCATAATTCAGACACGTTTTGAAAAATGATCTTCTTTCATTAAACATGGCTTACCAACGTTCTAAAATTCGTCGTTTCTGTGAAAGAGAATTTACGATAAAGGAGTACAGACTGATTTCCGATCATGGGAAATAATTAATGACGCAACAATTTTCACTTCAACACTCGCATACACAAGATGTAACTTACAAGGATCGTTGCCACGTATAAAGTGTTGAACCAGCGATTCTCGCCGCAACCATTAGCATGTCGATGAGGAAAGGAGCTGCCAATCCAGGTTCCCTGTGAGCAAAAGTAGCCAAGCACACCAGTCCAAGTCCAATAGTAGTCTCATCGTGTGTTTCGAGTACGACTTGACACCAAGGACACCGTTCCGTACTCAAAGCCGCAGTAGCTAAAGCAGATACCGCCTGAGAATTCATTTCACCTGCTATGGTTGCTGCTCCCATAACTCCACCACCACCGCCACCATAAGGTGACTTAGCGCGAAGTGAAGAGACTCTACGTGAAGACAATGTACCAGAGGTTGTTCGTGGAGCGGTGGAACGAAGTTGTGCTGTTGAATCCTCAAGGGATGAGGACGTTTGAACGCGAAGATTACTACTTCCATTTTCGTCATCTACCTCTACTGCACGATTGAGTGGTGGACGGTCCCGAGACTGAGAAGCAACAGCGAGCTTGCTCGAGTCCCGTTGGAGGAAAGGTGAGGGAATGGATGTATCGGAACAAGATTCAGCCTTCCTACGAGGTTTTCAGTGCAAATTATAAATAGGGAATATAGTGGTATTCTTTAAAAAGGAGGTCTTACGTTGTCTTAACTTTTGAAGCTAGTTGGTCTCCGGAATCTCTTCGGCTTGGATCTGTTAAGGACGGAAAAAGAACCCTAATCATGACTCTATGATAAAGTCGTAAGGGATGAGTCCCTTGCTCGTAGTGAATGCGCGTATAGTAGATAATCAGTTAGAAACCTGAAATTGAACACCTTTTTCCCTGAGAAGAGGATGGAATGGGGCCTATCGCCAATACTCAGGCTCACACTGATTGCAATGTTTACTTAACCTCCATTGTTCATCATGCAATCCCAACATTCCATTCTACGGCTAATGAGTGCAACATCACACCTGGTCAGCCTCGTTTTCAAGCTGAGGTATTATTATAAGTTCATTGACTTTTTAGTACATTAATGCAATAAAAAAATTAAGCGACTCTGCTGAAACAGGTTTTATAAATTCATCTTTTACTATAACTCAAAGTTAAAAGGTAGGATCTCGAAATAATGAAAAGTTTATTAAACTGTCTCCATTTTGAAAAAAGTTAGGCTTCATTTATTGAAAAATATCGATTAGGAAAGCATAAATAGATAATTTTCTTTGTGGCTGCTTTAGTCCATTTATACAAGGCGGGGCGTATTTGGAACCATGCCACCTAATAAAACAGGCAATTACCCTATTTGGTATTCAAATATTTCTTAATTCAAGGATGCCTTGTCACTTAACTAACTAACTGTCGGGTTCACAGAATTGAATAAAATTAAACCAATCATGATGTATTTACCAGGGATTTCAGTCTTCGGGATGGCGGAATCGCGTTGATCAGTCGGTCCCTTCCTGTCAATGCTCGAATCAGAGACAGTTGGCTGAAAATTAGAAAGTATGGCGTAGATAAAGTGACTTAGAGAAATAGAAGCACCAAACTCTACTAATAAAATTTAAGAGAAAATAGGCGACGAATGAGACAATTTGGTGAGTGTTTTAATGTATTTTTCTCAATTTCGATTGTTCGCCATGTGATTAAACTAATGGTCTAACTAAGTCGTACTTTATGCATCACTGTTGTTGACAACCTGTACAGTGTCTTCAATGATAGAATAATCAAGTGGATCCACATTTCACTCCATTAATTTAGCTTGCAATATAACTTTTAAATTGCGTCCACTGAATAGATGGGACCAAACTTGTGCGGATGAGTATAAGCCTCATCTCATTACTGATCTCGTGAAAGCATACTTTCTCGCTGAACTCAATTTTCTAGCATTTGACAAGAACGTGGCCACACTTTTAGAGATTCTTTCCTTTTATACTCCAATATCTGCAAGGTAAAATGCTGAATTTCCCAAGTAGATGCTTACTTCAACCAATGTCATCTGACCTTTCGTATGAAGAGGCCCAGAGCAATCAAAATCTTAGTTGTAGGTCCTTTTAAATCAACGAAACTATGGTAATAAAACTGTAATGACCACAAGCGCAAAAAACTTCCGTCAGTATTTTAAAAAAATACAGGTATCTGAAAGTGAATGTGTAATTTATCTTTAAAACCAAAAGGAGGTATTAGTCCTGGTCAACATTAGAGTGTCTTGAAAGTATCAATGATCCCCATCACTATAAGAACAGTGGCACTGTCCCGACTTAAGACAATCAAAGAAACAAGGGCAAAATATGGCAATATAGAGAATTAATTCAAGTTTGTTGATAGCAGCAATATTCAACAGAATCTATGACTCCATCATGGAGTCAGTAAGACAAACGATGAAAGCATGTGGTGCCATTCCTTTGCCCGGGGTTTGAGTGAACCGAAATATCCTCAGCATAATAAACTAGATGTCCTGTTTCCCCATCAAAAGTAAATAATTAGCTTTAAGAAAATTGATCGAGGTTTGAAACATCCCAACCCCCCCCCCTCTCCCACACACATTGCAGCATCTGTGATGGTCGGGTGATGTGGAGATGGCTCCTTAATTCCCCTTCAATAATATTTGAATAATCCATTTAGAATTTCGTGTTAGTTAAAATTGTGTCGATTAAAACTATCTTCTAATTAGCCATCACATTTTTAGCAATCGCACAATGACCTTTATTCAGATTGGAAAAAACGCCGAAAATAATTTGTTTTTGAAATGAAAAGGTAGTAGATTTGATATTTACAAACGCACTTTGGAAAATTAGTACAAAATACAGTAAAATGTGCTGAAATCCCACGAAAGCAAAGAATTAAGCTAAAACCTCTACATTTTATTAGGATTTCCTTCGAAAACTGTTTTGAAAACACCAGACGATTGTATTTTCAAAATAAGGAAAATGCATATGCCATTCATGATTGGTAGAGCTCGATTAAAGAGGACATTTTCTTCCCAAAAATTGTTTACTTAACTTAGTGCCAGCTGCACATTTAAAATGAAATCCGAAATAAACGTCTCGTACAACACGTTCATCTCTTTAAACTAATCTGAAAGATGTCCATTGAAGGAACTGCATTTTAAGTAAATATTGTCCAACTAAAGTGAGTGTAGACAGCAAACGCATTTGAGTTTTAAAGGCAAATTACATTTTACGTTTTCATTGTCATGCCCTCTGTGTGAAATGTCAAAAAGGAATGTATAACCCACAAAGATGAAAGCAAATAGAAGATCTGTCTTGCTACAACACTTCACAAAGAATTCATTTTTGTGAGATGTTGTTGTAAGTATTTTACAGCCAGACTTTCCCAGTTTTGGGAGGGGTAGTGAGCTAACACGCACAGGCAAGCGACTATTCAACCCTACTTGCCCTTTATCAACGTAGTGATCTAGTCTAGACTTCCCAAATATACCAAGGAGAAACTGTTATATCGTCAGTTGACCACTTTTAACAAATACATATTGTCTAGCCTCTCTTTTGGACAGGGCCAACCATTCCGGCTGTCCATCAAATCACTGTCAAAATTCACGGATAAGCACAAACCTCGTGACACACAAACTTAATAAACAAAAGTGGTAAAGCCTTAGATCTAGTTTAAAATTGATTGCTCTATTAGGTAGTTTTTAACATTATTGCGCACTACCTTTAAAAAGGTCAAGGTTTTCCTGTTCAATGATTTTCAACAAGATCCACAAGGTAATATCACAAGCTCTGGGATGTGCGATAGACTAACCTCCACGTGGTGCAACCTGGGCAACGAATATTCATACGGCAAAGAAGTCTATAAAGCGGCAGCTGACTTCTAACTTCAAACTACCATGACCCCACTGTGTGTCATATTCCACCACTTCCACAGTATTTATCTTACCTTTTCTCTGCATTTGTGCCTGTCTATCTCTTTTGCATCCTTGAATCTCTTTTCTGTTCCTCCTCACAAATTTTCCTCACTTTGATGTTCCTCCTCCACTCTATGAAGCCCGAAGTCAACTAAAGGGCTAATGATAACTATTATAAAGCTTTCCATTAATAAGGTTTCTTAAAACATGATTGATGATTTCTTGTCCTTCATCCCAAAAATATAAGAATTTTCATATGTGATAATAAAAATTGGCTGTAAGATACGATTACCAAATTGGATCCCTACAAAATGTTCAAACTAAATACCCAATTGAGCAATTTCAATAAACAAAGTATTGCAGATAGAATATACACCAGAAATTGATGGAATTAAACCAACTATCGAAAATAACCCTACCGGTGTAATAGCTCTTTCCTCTACGGATAGAGCTCCCGGTTTGGACAGCTTATAACCGGTTGAAGCCAGGCCTGATGGAACGTCTAGTGACTCCTTAGTTTCTGAAGAATCCAGATCCACAGAAGTTTGTTGTGAATCCTCCCTACTTCCTTGTTGATATCTGTTCGCCTTTTTCTTCATTATTGGTGATGTGAAACGCAGTGCCCCGACTGAATCAGGATCACGTTCTCGCGAAAGCTGTAAAATGGGAAAGAATAAAGAAAATCAAGAAGGTAACGGCGAACGTTTGACAATTTTAATAGGGCACCAGCCATTTGTAAGAACCACGAATCTAAATTTTTGTATTCATTCTGGAGCATTGTGGAATCTTTGCTAACAGACTTAGCAATCATTGTCTTCAATTATTTTCGCCTTTCGATGAAAGACGACAATAAATTTGACTCTAAGCAAATCAATGTTCTGATAGAGGTTCCTTAAGCACCAAAGACTGAATTGATAAAACTTTCCTTTGGCTATAGCAGGGTTTCCTATCTATTGCAATTGAACTTAATTCACTTAATCATTCTGCTTGATTTAGAGTCATTACATTCATAAGCCTCTAGTAAAAAGAGTGCCTTATTTCTTAGTAGGATAGACAAAGTCGTTTTTTGCTTTTAAATCAGATTTTCAACAGCCAAAATTAGTGGAAGCGTACATAACAAACTCCCGAAACACCTGCTTAGCAGCTTTCAATCCACAATTGTGAAGAGGCACATCTCTGATTCATCTTAAAGTCGACAGATGCTATGGCAAGTTCAAAAGCCAGAAACAACACTGAATGGAGCGCAAATAAGTTCCAAGAAAAATAAAATGCTAATATGACTACTTAGTAACACTTGTGATTGGTGAAGATCAAGGCCAATTTTCAATTTCAAGCCCCTAGAAAATGTCAAACATTTATTTGCAAACATGCAGCTAGAGGAATCGATTTCCCCATTTTTTTCTGCCATCTCTTTCTTTGGAGAATTAAATATAGCCACCTCATTTGGTATTTGAACTGATTTCTCAAAATGATCCATTAATCGAATCCCCTTTTACTGACTCATCTTTACTTACTTACGGGCATTATATATTTACATAATTGTCATTTTCACCACCGCTGAGTAGATGTTGTTCCCTTATCTCATGCCAATATGAGTTTACATTTAAGCGAAATCAATATCTGTTCATGTCACAATCTTCCTACCATCTTGGGTTTCCAGGTGTTCGCAATAATGTGAGTATTCAAAGCAAGTGCAATGCCAATCGTTGAATTTTATTAATTCTACAGCACTACAGTGATAATCAGATTTAGCCTGATAATTTTTTTTATCATGAATCTGATATACACTATTGCGATGATTCAATTATCACAGTCTATTTTGCGGGAATACTCCCCGAAATGTTCGAAACAGTAAATATTACACGATACAATCCTATACAAAAAAGTGATCAAGTTATTTACCACATAGCTGAAAGTCCGCATTTAAGCAAATTTATATAACCTTCTTATCAGATAGAATCGATAACGGCTAATTAGTTATCATAACTTGGCATGAGTCACTGATCACAAATGCGATAGCAACCGTCAACATGACCGCCAGTTAATTAATCCGATTAATCCGCTATTTTGATAGTTCATAACTAGAAGTAGAATTTGCGCACAATAAGCTGCACTTATTTCTCTTTCCCTCGCTCTCCCTCTCTCCCCCGAGGCTGCAATTTCTCCTCCACTAATTTCAATGCCTTCTCCGCGATCTGCGAATTTCCTATTACAGGTTTACAGAGTAAAACACATAATCTACAAGAGTAACTTTGTGCCTAACTCCATAAAACGTATACGGAGGCTCAAAACAAAATAAACAGTGTTTTCGAAAATTGAAACCACAAATAATAATCTATGAAACAAATACCTTTGTGTAATGTGGGAAAGTTCTCTTTTCCGGTTGGGGTGTTGTGGTTGGTGGTGGAATGGCTGACGAAATGTCCGCAGCCTTCTTCTCAACAGAACCAGGCGAAGAGTGTTCAGAGGCACTATCCTGAGAGATGGTTATTCCAGGCATTACAATCACTTCATCGTCGTCTTCTTGAATTGGGGCTTCAACTTCGCGTGTCGACTTTATCTCAGCACTAATGTTACTGGCTTCTACACAACAGGAGTGAAAGTTAAATATAATGATTTCAAAACTCTTCAGCCTTAGCTTTGCTTTTCCATAGAAGGCTCATCATTGTAACTTCAATTATAGATGAATACAAAGTGAAATGCTAAAGAAAGCTGGCTCAATGTGACATATTCATTGTGGTATAGTAGAGTCTTTCTAATTGTAAAATTAAATTGTTTCTTTACACTATAACTAAATGCGAAAATCACACCAGGCCTAGAATTAAGAATACATCTTTAGCTTTCTCAATTGAGAAGCCGTTACATTGTGTTCGTAAACGTGAGGCCTCTAATGTGAAAAAAAATCGAATGATATAACTTCTTTGAGGTAATTAGTGAGATCAACAATTCACCTCAATGTGTGCAAATACAGGTGTACATCAAACTCACAAACCCATGAATTACAGTCGAGATACTTGACAGTAGATCACTAATCATAAAAGTTTTTCACTTTTCTCATATCCGAAATTGCGATTTGAAATACATACAAGCAGACAATAAACTATTGCATTGTTATCAAATAAGTATTGTTAATCGATAAAATAAGCATTAAAAAGGAGTACATTAAATTGATTGGTAGAGCCCAATGTATTTTCAGCAACAAGTCTGTTCCGAATTAGTTTGAATTCCATAAGTTTTTTTGCAATTTACTTATCTTTGGGCCAACAAAAGAGAAACCTAAGGGTACTTTCATGTATGGGTGTTTAAATTTCCACTTTAATCGCCAATAATGCTTTCATTAATGAAGTGTTATTTTCTTGTTAATTATCCCCCCCCCCACCTCGCAATGATCACTACAGTTGGGTGAAAAGTATAAATAGCAAAAAAATTATTTTAATTTAACTTAAAGTAACACTAATTAATAAAGATTCCCTGGGTTAATTTATTTCACTAAAAACCCAGCTTTATTCAAAGAATAAACAAAGAAATAGTAACAAAATGAAATCTTTCTATTCAATTAAAATTTTTAATAATTTGATTTAACTAGTTTTCATAATTTCAAACTAAATAAAAGCGTATTTTTGTTTAAAACAATAACGAAATCTTTGAATATGAAACAAGGTAATCGGCATCATATTACTTTATATAAAACAAAATGTTTAGCCAAAAGAAATCGCCTTTGAATGCAAAGAATTCAAAATTCGAATAAATGACAGTCAAAATGATTAAGATAAAACAACGAAATAGCAAAAAAAATTGCAAAGATTTTAAATTTTGCAATTTGACTTTTGAAAAGTTTTTTATGCAGTACCGGAAAAGCCAGAGAAAACAATGTTGCCCAGGCCTAAATAATTATTTTTGGAAAATTATTATCTTTCTTTTGCAACTGGAATAACTGCTTTTTACATGCTTGAATTTTAAAGCATTTTAGATGACCAATCAGCCAGATTTGGTCGCCATACCTGACTGTCAAAACGACAATAAGGATACAAGTAATCGTTCGGCAGTTCCCCACCCCATTCAACCCATTTATATCGGGAGGTCTTCAGAGTTACATACGCAGTTTTATTTTCATATTACACTATAAATGTTCTAATCGTCTGCCGACTCTATCTGCAACTATCACGATCTGATCTTTTCGCGACTGATTACTGCCGTTTCCTCATCGACTTACTTTTCTCACTTCTGCAGACTAATATAAACAAGGAAAATTTTAGTTCTACTGTGCGGGGTGTACATTAGACATGCCTCCGCGTGATGCACCCTGGGCAATGTATACTCATACGGCAAAAATTTCTATAAACCCACAGTTGACTTCACACTACCATGAACCCACTGCATGCCATATTCGACCACTTCCCCAGTACTTATCTTACCTTTTCTCTGCCTTTGTGTCTGTCTGTCTCTTTTAAATCTGTAAACCACTCTTCTGTTTCCCATTCTCGAAATTTGCCCACTTTGGTGTTCCTCCTCCTCTCTGTGAAACCCGAAGTCAACTTAATGGCCAATGATAACTATCAAAACGCCTGTCATTTGAAATAAATTAATGTTCCACTGTGCAGCTCAGCCTCTCTCACTTGCTTAAAATGTTGACAATACTAAACCCTCTGCATTTCTTCTCAATTATTGCTGTTTTACATCTTTTAACCGCATAGGCCTTTATGGAAACTGTTACCATAGAAGTTCTACAACACTTTTTTTCAAACACCTTGTGCTTTTACCTTCCCCCTTCTATTACCGATTTTTTTTAAATTGAATTATTTAAATCAAATTTAATTCGCTTTTTCAAAATGATAAAGAAATTTGGCGCGGTGTCATAAGTATGACCATATGATCTTAATTTATAAAGTTAGTAATAAAAAAAATATTGAAAAATCGACCTTTCACCTGCGTAGGCAAAATGAGTCCAACCTTCTAAGGTCTTCTTATAAAATTATACAATATATAATAACAAAAAATAACAACTAAAGAAATTACTAGGACATATAATCAAATAAAAGGATTCCGCGTAATAAAGACAACAAATGACAGGCGGTAATGCCGCTGATAAAGGCAAAATTTCATCTTTTAGTACATGCCACTAACTAAAAATTCGATCTAATTCATGCGTCTTGTGGGCTAGGTAAGGCTAGATATAGAAAGGGTTAGAAAGAGAGTAGTGTAGCTAGGTGCATTCATGCGGAGAATCGAGGGGCAACTGATCTGATCTAGGCAAACATGCGTTCTTGGCAAATCAAAAAAAAAACAAATTTACCTTTATCTTTATGGATGGTGTCTAGAGGAAAATATTGAAAAGATTTATCAATCAATTTCGACGTAGCTGGAGAGACATAAGTCACTAAACTTAGTGGAACAGAGTAATAGCCCGAAACTATAATACTTCATAAGTAATACTTCGAACATAATTAATTACATTTTAGTAAGCACCATAATCATTCCATGGAGGAAAAAGAGAAAGTTACAGTACAGGAATTATACGCCTATGTTTTATTCAAAGATTAAATATTAATAGCAATACGAATCCAGCAAACAAAACTCCTCCATTTAACTGGCACTTTGGTCAACGACACTCCTAACACTTAGACCTTTACACGGAGCATAAACGGTCATAGGTCGGGTGGTTAGCACAATATAGCCCAGCGATATCTTACATTCAACGTGACCAAAATGAGAGAAACTCGAGAAGCTTATACGTATAACATGGTAATATATGATCGTATTGGAATAATATAGAGCGTTTCTTAGACTTATTCCTAAATTCATTTGAAATGCGTGTATATTATTAAACAGCACAGTTGGTATCCATGTCTAAAGGGTATGCCAACAGTTATCCTTTAATACATATCTTGCTCTTCGATTCCTTTAAGTAGTTATCATGAGAACCATCTTGAAAATGCAACTACTTTTAATTCAAGATGCAATCCTCTCTTTCTCACACATTTGCTTAATTGTCTTCTGAAGAATTTCTTTAGGCAACTGGATTGAAATCATATAAGAAATAACATCCTGAGTTATTACAGTTAAAATAGCAATCCAAAATTTCATTTAAATTACAATTGGCGTACCTAGTTTCTAACTAAAGCTTGAAAGGAGTTTAGCAATAACTATAAATCGGGGAACATGCAGACATGACTTGGCATCCACCAAAGATGTTGATCTATCTTACCCCTCAATCTTGGAAGATACATCGATGGTGAGTCGAAAACATCATCCTCTGTTCTCTCTTTGCAGATATGCACCTGAGTCTCAAGAGTGTTAAGTACAATACGGATCAGATATTCAATAATACCACTAGTACCCCATTGGCAATTGGATGAAGTATTAATGTAACAGCTGCCCCCAACTCCACCGCCAGAAGCACCAGCGGCCATGGACAAACTTGCACCAGGTGCGAATGAAGCGCCATGACCTGGAGAAAAACCTGAAGGTCTACCACCTGCTAGGCTCCCGATAGTGTCTCCAGTATTGAATTGGGAACCGATAAAATCGGGATTCAATGTGTCCATACTAGCTTTGTGGCCACCGCCGCCAGTTGAAATGGATGAAGTATTCATGGTTCCCGATGGTGAATTGTATTCGTACTATAAAATGGAAATGCCAGTTAGTCATCTTAAGAGACCATCTTAAAATTATTTCCCTTCCCCCCCCCCCAAAAAAAACAAACACAATTTATGCCTTCTGTTTGGCAACAATCACATAATCTTTCGGTTCAACAGAGGCACGTAATAGGCTTTTCGATGTCAAGTTTGCTTTGATTACTCCAGTGAGCACAATCACCATTGATTATTTGGAGAAACGACGTTTCCACTAGCCCTGCTTGATGAATAATCAATGATGATCATCATTAATTGACTTGCAAATGATGAGCGTTCTGTCTTATAAAAGTCATTAATGCGTGGGCTCAATTCCCGCGGTCTTTTTATAGACTTATATTACCATGGATAAAATATACAAAATGCGTTTTGAATAAATCAATATGTACTCATCAGAAAACCTTCCTTAAAGTATGGCTAGTTGTTGCTATCGCGATAAACTCAGAGTTTGGGTGTTTGGTTGCTCATATTTGTTCTGTTGAAGAGTTGATGTGGGAGTACAAAATCATCGCCTTGGTCAATTTACTTCTGTGTTACAAGTGTACGCCATGGATGTACGAATAACGGCAATAGTTCTTCACAGGGAACCAAGGATCCTATTCAGCCAGAGGTTTCAATACGCCATCATCAGACTTCGTAATTCGTCCTCATTTTAGCACACTTCTTCAACCTGTTTAACCCCCCCCCCCCCATTCAATATTTGAAAGTTAACGTGGCATGTTTCAACAGTAAGCCTTTAAGCAACCATTTCAGTGGTGGTTTATGCAGTAGTCTTAGCGTGTTGGCGTAAAGAATGAAATGTCTGTCTGACGTGCCCTCTGTCTGCTTTGGGGTTTGATCTTGTAGCCTTAACGAAAATCACATGCAATGTACAGAGATAATGTTGAACAATATTTTTTCCCTGAAAAAGTCCTGCAAACCTGTTTCTTCTAAATGTCTGGACATAAATTCCACTCAAATATGTATTTTTAAATGTAAGAATTTCTTATCGCAAAAAAAAAATACTTAATTGTGTAAAACCACACGAGGTGAATAGGTGTCACCAGTTGACAAGGCTTATCCGTCTTCGCTCAATTTCCCTTAAACTACAAGAAAAGCAAGAATGGTCTAACGAAGGTAATTGCAATAATTATGGACATTTCCCTCTACTTCAAATTGATAAATTTTCACCATTTATTTAGGCCCCATTCTAAACAACGGCGTCATTAAAATAGTACGACTAGGAAGCTACACATTAAGAAGCTAAACAAGAAAAGAAGGTCAGTTTAATAGATGAAGTAGAAATGAATAAAATATTGAAATTTAGCGTGTTAATGTAAAGCCCTATCAATACCATTAACAATCGTTAGAAAGCAATATTATTTAAACCAATATGTAATTTCCAACATAAAAGAAACATATCCAGCCATTCAAGTGGATAGACCAATCGTTGGATAACCGGTAAGGGATCCCAAGTCACTGATAAACAAACTTGAGTTCATGTGCAAACACTTCTTTGCTAGACATCAGTTATGTCTAGTTATCAATGCCTCCACGTGGTTATTGGCATTGGTGTAGGCATCATATGCAAATACATAGCACACAAACTCGGATCCCGTTTTGGGGATCTTTACTTTTCTAGTGGCTACAACAATATTCCTTCTATAGCTTGCATTTCCTTGTCTAAATTCTATTGTGATGTCTCGAAAGCATGGCGGAAAACTCATTTTGAGTAGAACCATCGGGGAACATTCAAGCTATTCACAATTGACCTTTGAGTTTAATTAATTGGCGATCAAATTTGAACACCCTGGAAACGAACTTACTCGAAAACTATGATTTCAAATACTGAAGACTGATTATTAGGACTCTAAGCCATATTGCAGTGAACTGCGCTGATTAATAAAAACGCTCTAAAGAAGTGCGAAATTATATCAAGTCGTCCGTTGTTTCACCAAAATACAGCAAAAAGGTTTCAAAAGCAGACCAGGGTTTGCATTAACTACTATATGATTGGCGCTTGGGATGGACTATTCAAGATGAAAGAATCTCTCATGCAGTAAAAAAACTAATTGCTTTCCGATACATTTGATGTTGCATATTTTGCCCATTTTCATCATTCTTACACCCCTGTAACACGAAGACAAACTTATTTTTGGAAACCGAAATTGTATATTAATATATAGAGAGTCCTTAATGGAGAGTAAAAGCACCGACATGGCATGTGATTTCGCTTCCCATGGAATGCATACAACAGTTAGAGAGCAAAAGAGTGGTAAGTTTAGAAATAAAATTTTCTAAATAAGTATTCAAATTTATTAACTCAAACGCACCAAAAAAGGAATTAAGGGAACTACAATTTTAGCGTCTTTGGCCTGACGGGATTGCCATGACTACAGCAGCGACCAACGTCGGTTCCTAGCTCTATCAATGTAAACGACAACTTTAGAAGAATTCGAGAGAGTACGCTGTGGTGTTAAACTATAATTATGTGTGAATATCACAGAAACGAAGGCACCGCTCACGCATTAGCGGAGAACGATCAACAAGGAATTCCAGTGCCCAATTTTTGCTTTAATCCAAGGTTAGAAAGGTCGACTTGCCACTTATAAGAATGCCATTCATCCCAAAATATTATCCCAATAGGCAATAACTTACGTTCAAAGTCAGAAGATATGTAATAGTTATTTTGAATTCCATGGACCAAATGTCCTTGATTTTTTTCCACAAAATTCTCTTTTCCTGCTGTCATGACTACTTGTCCAAATGGTATACTTAATATTAATGAATGGATATAAGTAAAAGCATTTTGCAATTATGCGGATCAGTTTGTTCAGCGTGTCAATCGAGTAGGTATTTTATATAGGCATATGAATTTTAAAAATTCGGAAAATAAAATGAACTTCTCAAGAGGAATCGCCCAAAGAAAATATTAATAAAAAGTCTTCTTCTTCCTGGCTGTGAAAGTAAACCTACTAGAAGTTAAAAGTCAAGATGACAACTATTTGTTTTCTGATAATTGATTTGGGAAAAAGAAAGGCTTTTAACTTTCAAAAGCCATGAGCAACAGATTTAATATCCTGATATAATTGTAATTGTCATGCGGTCATTAACTAAATATTTGTCACGCATACTATTCACTAGACACCGGACTTTAAAAGTGCGAAAAGCACATCGGTACCGAGATTGAACAAAGGAATCTCTGAATCGATTAGCAAGCGATGACGGACATGATGGCAGATACCATTCATCTAACCACCTGTCAATAGTCCCTACAAATGCAGCGTAGAACTAATTATATTTTAGGGCTAAGCTTCGTGTCAGTGGTCATAAGCTGTCATAAACGCTGCACCCTCCATACGTTCTGCTTCCTAGATACTGTTGAGGTAGCTTAACTAGTTTCTGCAGTAGCTTTATACCATGGGATTTTACCAGAGCATTATTGAAAGTCGGGCAAGGTTAATTTGTGTAACATCCCCATACAAAAAAATTATTTTAGACCGCAAAATCTGTACCCGGTGAATTACCAGAAATATTTTAAGAAGTATAACTCCATCCTTCGTTTTTTATTTAAGGTATTTAACTTATGGAGCTTTGATTCAAAAGCTCAATTTAAAATGTTATTTTATGAAATCGGCTCAGGAAGATGATAACTTGTCATTTGCGTTTCCGTTCCAGAAAAGTACCACCGGATTGCTGGATAGAGTTTAAAAGAAGGTGACTTTAATTACCAAAAAAAAAGAATCTGAAATTTTATTTAGGAAAATTCGTTTGGCTAATAAAATTCAGCTGAGTTAAATGTGATTTTTCAAGGAAAGCATGCTTATTTTGTTTCAAACGTTAATTATACCCCTAGACACCGCAGGCTGATTAGGCGTTTAATTAAACGACAAGGATTGAATATAATTTTTGGGTTGGCTTTAACAGCAGAGCGAATTTCTTCACTCCGTTTAAAGCAAGTAAACAGATATCCAACAAATTCATGACTGGGGAAGCTTATGAAATGAGGCTGAAAACGTTCTTCTTACTACTTTTTAATCTCCACCATACATCAATTATTGAGCACAAGGATTTTCATACGGCATTCAATGGAAAAAGTGCACATATCTCGCATTTTCAATAAATTTAATGGAAAGAGAACTGAGTAGATAGCACTCTCGTTATGCAACTTAAGCGTACCTTGTAGAGAATGATGATGAGTGTATTGAGCCAATGATGTCGAATTTGCGGTTCCAGCAGTCGTAGGGTAAAGTTTGGAGCCTGGCAATCGTTTGCATATCTCTGGGGCGAAGCACAAACTTGCAATACCATCAAAATTTGATGCAGAATACAACTTCCAATGGGTGGATTTCTATCCAATACATCGGCTACATGAGAAATGAATGCATGAAAAACAGTGGATGTTCTCAACTTGTACGGCGGTATATTGAATGCTTGATCAGCATAGCCCAAGAGGAGGGCAAGATGACGTTGAACTTTTGAAAGCGCCTTCTTATCTCGGAGTTCGTCAGCCGGAGCCCCACGACGAGATTTGCTTCCTTGACTTCCACCGTCCATGTCTACTGTAGCCATGAAACGAAGAAGGAGTCGAACCCATTGGTGCAAAGCACCACGATCTGCACCTTCTTGATCGAGTTTTAGTTGAAGAGAGGATAAAAACTTGTTTGTACTGTCCATGAATTCAGTTGATCCTGGGGCACCTACAAAGAGTGTTTGACATGTTACATCAGCGATGAAATATTCTAAATTTCTATATTTTAAGTTACACATATCGATTACAGTAGTATTTTCTAACCTCTCTGACAAAAAATTATTTAGTGTCGAACTTGGAAGAAATCGAATTCGATTGAAATTTTACATTAAACAAACCCATTAAAAGGTTTCTAGGCGACTGTTTTAATAATATCATGAAAAGTGTACGACGAAAATAATCCAAAATTGCTCAGAGTATTCGATCGATTTTTAAGAAAAATTTTCTGAAGACATATGTGCAGGGCATAGCAGATTCTATGAATGTGAAAATATGCCTGAAACGATTATGTGTGGAAAGCTAAAATTTTTATTTCATTGCTTAATATGGCACAGCGGTAAGTCGAAAACATTTGTGATACACACAAATATGTAAGAATCACCTATCATAAGGCAATAGATTCCGCAAATTCATTATTATCTCTGATTATGAGAATGGAAATACGAAGAGAATTTATATGAACCACTTAGACAAGGATATGTGTCGAGTGGAACACTTTTGGAAAAAAAGGAGAATCGATAGTGTCACTTGGATATGGCAGTCAACAGGATATTAAAATATGGAAATTCAAGGTATTTGCATTAGAAAGTAATTAAAGGGTAATTTTGGTAAATAAATAGTCTCTCTCCACGTCTATTAACGAGGAAGAAAGCAACACGTTTATATGTTCATATATACGTAAATAAGAGCTTTAATCGATCACAACAACAGGAAGTGGCCATTCTCTAACAAGCGCCGATGCCCTTCATATAAGATATATATAATCTTTAGTGAGCGGCGGGTGCGCAATAGACTTACCTCCACGTGTTGCACCCTGGGCAACGTATGCTTATAAGGCAAAAAAGTCTATAAATCGGCAGTTGACTTCTGACTTCCAACTACTAAGACCCGACTGTTTGTCATTTCGGCCCCTTCATAGTACTCATCGTATTCTTTCTCTTCATTTGTGACTGTCTGTCTCTTTTACGTGTGTGAATCATTATTCTGTCCCCCCTCTCGACTTTTTGTCACTTTGATGTTCCTCCTCCTCTCTATGAAGCCCGAAGTCAGATAAAGGGCTAATGACAACCATCAAAACGCCTGCTATTTTGAGATAAATAAATAAATCTTTAGTGAGCGTTACCTAACCCTTTA